TAAGCACCAGAAACAAGTACTTGCAAGAGGGTGATGGTGGCCAAGATGACAATGGTATATGAATAAAGAGTAGAAAGGGAGGGCCAAGAATTGAATGTATATACTACAAAATTAAGAAAAGTAAGGGGAGGGAGGGATTAGGAGTTGCGGGTGAGAATATTGAAAGTGGTGACACTAACCAAGATGCATTTTCTTCATAAGCTTCTCTGTTAAATGGCAACTCCTTTGTACAACAACTTAAAGATAAGTTAAAAAATTAAATTTAGAAACAATTTCCCTAGCGCCACTGCTAAGGGAAATAGATGAGCCGATGCCCAGAAGAAACTGCAAGGTGTTCAATGAGCAAAGGATATAAACCCTACTTTCAGCAGAACTATTTTAGAAAATAGGTCCTTACTTTTACAATAACTATTAGTATAATTAATAATAATTAGTGTTAGAAAAATTTCTTCTTGTGTATTTGCTGCACCAGATAAGGGAGAACTGCCAGCAGAGTGACAGTAACTCTGAGAGACTGAGACTGGTGTTCCTACACAGGACAGAAATAAGGAAGATACAGGCAGTACATGCCTGCCTTGCATGCTGAAACCTGTAGCCTAAGGGATGACACATGGAACATTAATACAAACAATCGGAATAGTTTGAGTTAGGTTGACTTGAGAAGAAGCTAGCTCTAGTTGAGAGACGCAATCTTTATTTGAGACCATGATGACAGTCAAGTTTGATATGAACCAGCTCACAATGTCGTGAAAGAATTTGGAACATCCTGCTGAGTTGACAGCTGGAAACAATGTCTGAAAGGACTTTGCTGGAGAGTGGCAGTGGCAGACCTGGAGAGTATCATGTTTATCCAGGGAAAGGAGCCTGCAGCCTGGAAAATGCCTCTACATGGGTAGTGGGAAAAGTAAAAGGAGGCCAAGAAACCCTAACAGAGGCCCAGCCTTGAACAGGGCACCAAGAAAATAACTCCACACAGGGCATCAGATGCAAGGTCTAATAGTCAGGGATGGACAGTATCTGGCTTTGGGGTTGAGAAGCTGTGTGTGTGTGTGTGTGTGTGTGTGTGTGTGTGTGTGTGTGTGTGTGTGTGTGTGTCTTACATATAACTGCAATTTATGAGGAAAATGAAAATGAAAGCTATCATGTATTCTTACACCAGTTAGGTTGGGTAATATAAAACAAATGATAACAAAATGCTGACAAATATGTGGAAGAAAAATTTATTTGAGGAGAGGTGCATCAATTCAGGGCCTCGTGCTCTTATTTAGTGTCTTTGCTCAGGCTGGCACTCTACTTCTTGAGCTATACCTCCACTTCCAGCTTTTTGCTGGTTAAGTGGAAATAAGAGTCTCATAGACATTTCTGTCCAGGCTGGCTTTGAACAGTGATCCTCAGATTTTAGCCTCCTGAGTAACTAGGATTACATATGTGAGCCACCAGTTAAAGTTTACTGTCCCTCTGCAAATAGCCCTTCCTTACCTGATCCAGCATTCAACTCACTGTTGGTGGTCATGCAAATTAGTATAGCATTATAGAGAAACAAAGAGATTTTCATTACAAAACTAAAAATAGACCTAGCCTAAGATCCAGCTTCCCATTCCTGGATGTATATCTTTAACAAAAATTAAATTACCAAACAAGATACACATGCATGCCAATATTTATTGCTGTACTATTTGCAATACCTAAACTAAGAAATCAGCTGAGATACTCATCTGTGGATAAATGGATAAAGAAAATGGATACACAATGCAGAAAAGACACAATTAAAAGACTAAAGTCTTCTTGTCTGAGGCAAAATGATTAGACCATGCGAAATAGGGGGGGAAACTATGTTCTCCCTCATATGCAGAAACTAAAAAAGGTCCACCTGAAAGAAGGGTAGGGACTAGGGATTGGGAAGGATGTGGTAGAGGGAGGTGGAAAAGGAGGGTTAGATTTGATTAATGCATGTGTGAAAATAGTATGCTCTACCCCATCCCAATGTGTATTAATATGTTAATAAAAACAAAGTAAAGACCCTGTAAGCTAAGCTCCAGGGAAGATTCAGTGAGTGAGGTCAGACATTGAGGGAAGGAGGTGCTACAACCACAACCAGTCAGCCCAGAGGCCCACCTCATTCTGTCTACCTAAGACACTCCTGGGGACCAGGAACTCACCATCACTCTCACCATTGTGAAAGCAGATGAGCCCAGACATGGCTCCTAATATGATCTATATAAAGTAGGTTTTAGAGGTGCAGTAAGCCAGGTACCAGTGGCTCATACCTGTAATACTAGCTACTCAGGAGGCTAATATCTGAGGATTAAGATTTGGAGCCAGAACAGGCAGAAAAACCCCTTATCTCTAATTAACAAACAAAAAGCCAGAAGTGGTGTTAAAGTTCAAGTGGTAGAGCACCAGGCTTGAGCAATAAAAGCTAAGGGACAGCCCCAGACTCTGAGTTCAAGCCCCAAGTCCACCACAAAAATAAACTAATTAATTTTTAAAAGTGCTAAGTCAAAGCCAGACATAGGTGGCTCACACCTGAATTCCTACCTACCCAGGAGACTGGGATCTGAGGACTCAGTTCAAAGCCATCCCAGATAGGAAAGTCCACCAGACTTAACTCTAGCTAATCACCAGAAAATTGGAAGTGTGGCTCAAAGTGATAGAACAGCAGCCATGAGCAAAACACTCAGGGACAGAGCACAGGACCCAAGTTCAAGCCCATGACCGACAAATAAAACAAAAAGTGCTAAGCCTGACTTTGCCCTATCACAGCTTCCTGTGTTAAAACAGACCCTGATTATTTAGAGACAAATTTCCATTTGAAAACTAATGTCTTTAGGGTCTGGGAAAATGGCTCAGTGGTAGAGTGCTTGCCTTGCATGCATGAGGCCCTGGGTTCGATTCCTCAGCACCACATAAGCAGAAAAAGCAGGAAGTGGTGCTGTGGTTCAAGTAGTAGAGTGCTAGCCTTGAGCTGAAGAGCTGAGGGACAGCGCCCAGGCCCAGATTTCAGGCCCCATGATCAGCAAAAAAAAAAAAGTTAATGTCTTTAAGTATTCTTGATAGAATAGTGGATGGAAATACAATCAGTTTTTCACAAGAATATGATTGAGAACATTAAAGCAAACACTGTGTACCTTCACACTATGGAAGGAGAAAGCGATACTTGTACTTAACCAATAGGATTGGAATTATTTTCAAATAACAATGGAGTTCTTCCAAGTATGAATTTATGGGTGTCTGCTTGATGCAACCTCTAAGTTAAATTGATCTCTATAAATTTTACAGTCGGTGGGAAAATCACCAAACCAATCATTTGAAGGAAAAAAGCTCCATCAATTACTTGCATGCAGCATTTATATTCAGGTTTATCAATGAGCGCAGCACTTCCATTAGAACTGGCAGGGCTTGAGAGTGGGATGTTGGAAATTAAAGGAGCTCTGTAGAAAAGCTACAAATCAACAGATGGTAATGTGCTTGTTTCTTGATGGCAAATGCATCAGACACTAAATTGACAGCATTTCCTATCACTAAGAGATAACGGCTGCTTGTAAAAAGTCTATCTGGAATCTAAACATCACTTCAATGTGAGACAGATGTTAGCCTTGTATCAATCTCTATGGATTTTTATTTTTCATTAAATCCCAAGGGTTATTTCCTACTATACAAGAACTTTCTTCCTTTGTTTAAAATTCTAATCTTATATATATATATGTCTTCTAGGCCTAGCTTCCACATATGATTGAAAACATACAAAATTTTGTTCTTCACGCTTTTGTTTCACTCAAAATGATGTTCTCCATTTGCTGTAAATGAAACAATTCCATTTATCTTTATTGTTGTGTAGTATTTCCTAATACACATATATGTGTGTTTATCAATTCATCTTTATATAGAGATATAGATATACATCATCTGTGTATACATACATATACATGGGTGTGGGGGTGTTTATTGATTCATCTCTTTGGGGTTCCTCAGTTGATCCAATTGTTTGGCTACTATGAACAGCATAGCAATAAACGTAGGTAGACAGGTGCCCTTCTGGTTATGGATTACACTCCTTTGGATATGCTCAAATAGTGAGTGGTATGACAGGATCACAAGGAACCTCTATACTGATTTCCAAACTCACTGCACTTCTCAACAAGAAAATATGAAATTTCTTGTTTCTCTGCATCTTCAACAGCTTTTGTTGTTTGTTTTCCTCATAGCTGCCATTCTAATGAGTGAGATGGAATTTATATATATATATATATATATATATATATATATATAATTATTTATATGGATAAACGTAGATCGTACATCAAACAGAAAAGAAGGGGGAAGGAGAGAATATACAAAAGGAATGAGAGTAACATTACAACATATTTCAATTATATATGAAATATATAATTGTCTAAGGATCAACAGCCAAAGTGAGCCGGGACAGGAAAATGCATCAGAGTCCTATTTCAAAATAACTACCAGAAAATTGAAAGTAGCACTGTGGCTCAAAGTGTTAGAGTGCTAGCCTTGAGCAAAAATCCTAAAATCTGATTATGTGGTACTGAGGAATTGAACCCAAGGCGTTATGCATGCAAAGCAAGCACTCTACCACTGACTCACATTCCCAGACCAATACCAATAAATTTTAAAGACCTGAAATTTTATTTAAAACTGCCATTCATACAATATACATCCCATAAAGACTTTTACCATTCTCAGGATTCAGACATTGAAACAAGTTTTGTTTTCCTCATTTTAACAGATACAGAAAGTGAAGTTTTGAGAGACTACACGGTTTAGTTAAGATCACAAAGAGAAAGGAGAAACTATGAATTGTATGCTGCTGTTCTGACTTTGCTTCTGACTTCTCCACATCCCAGTGTCTCCACAGAGGTAAGAATGGTAAGACAGGACTGTTACCAAGAAAGAGAAGACACTGGCATCTGAAAACGATTTCACTATTTAGCTCAGAAGTTATTTATTTGAACCTCTTAACAGCTACCAGAAGATGCCTCAGCATGAGAAATGACAACCAGAGCTCCTTGGGGAATTCCCTGACAGATTTCATCCTTGTGGGTATTTCTGACCGACCATGGCTTGAGCTCCCTCTCTTTGTGGTCCTCCTGGTCTCCTATGTGCTGGCAATGTTGGGAAACATTTCCATCATCCTGGTGTCCCGCCTGGATCCCCAACTCCAGAGCCCTATGTACATCTTCCTCAGCCACCTGTCCTTCCTGGATCTCTGCTATACCACAACCACGGTCCCCCAAATACTGTTCAACATTGGCAGCTCCAAGAAGACCATCAGCTATGGAGGCTGCACAGTGCAATATGCAATTTTCCACTGGTTGGGAGGCACTGAATGCATTATCTTGGCCATCATGGCCCTGGATCGCTACGTGGCCATCTGCGAGCCCCTCCGGTATGCCCTGATCATGCACCGCTCTCTCTGCCAGCAGCTGGTGGCTGTGGCCTGGCTCAGTGGCTTTGGCAACTCTCTCGTGCAAGTGGTTCTGACTGTACAATTGCCTTTCTGTGGGCGGCAGGTGCTAAACAACTTCTTTTGTGAGGTGCCAGCCATGATCAAATTGTCCTGTGCTGACACGACCGTGAATGATACAACATTAGCGGTGGTGGTGGCCTTCTTTGTGCTTGTCCCCCTAGCTCTCATCCTTCTCTCCTATGGCTTCATTGCCCGAGCTGTGCTCAGGATCCAGTCCTCCAAGGGAAGGCACAAGGCCTTTGGGACTTGTTCTTCCCACCTGGTGGTGGTCTCTCTCTTCTACCTACCTGCCATCTACATGTACGTGCAGCCCCCCTCCAGACACTCCCAGGAGCAGGGCAAGTTTATCTCTCTCTTCTATTCCATAGTCACCCCCACCCTGAATCCCTTCATCTATACGCTGAGGAATAAGGATGTGAAGGGAGCTCTCAGAAGACTCCTTGTAAGGATCAGGAGGCTGTGCAGATCGTGAAGATCTGAAGATGTGGCGCTCGCCATCTATTCAAGAACATTGGGCAAATGTATTATTTGCTCAGAGCATCTTACATTTCCAGAATTAGTAGCTAAGCAGAAAGTATTCTGAGAGATTTGAGAACCTCAAAAATCCTCTATCCCAAACATCTGGCCCCTCACATGATCATAATGCTTGAGATTTGCAAGCTAAGCTGATTCTGAACATGTAATTCTAATAGGCCATGTGTTTTTATAGATTTAAGTAATTCTGTTTATTGAATTATTTCATTTCTAATTTTCTGGCTCTTCTTTTTTTTCTTTTTCCTTTTTCTTTTACCACCCTCAATTTGTCTCTTTTTAAGCTGCTTTCTTCCTTTTCAATTATCCCTACATTTGTGTAACATGAAACTGAAAGACAGTCTTACACATTTTCTCCATAGATTTAAACTCTCCCTGAGTTTAGTATGATATTATCAAGACATTATAAAAAATAAATGAATTCTTTTCCTCTTTTGTGATCAGAAATGACTTTTTTCCTCCTGTAATTCAAGTTTCCTCCTATAGAAGCTTTTCTTTACATTGACTGGCAAATATTTAGTGTAAATTTATCTATCTATGTTTTCCTCTATACAAATCTACCTATTTCAGAATTCAACATAGAAATTAGATACAGTAAGGAAATAGCAACAGCCACCAATATTTTTTAAATACAACCGTAATAGCATGCCATCATAAGTTATTTAAAATGTATGAATTGCATATTTGTAGAATATTTTATGTATTGTATCTAAACTGTCGTAGACAGTAGAGAAAAGAAATTGTGAAAAAGAAAACTGTGGGTAAGGGGAAACTTATACATGAGCAAATTCTAAATATAAGTAAAGAAACAAAACATAAAAACAAATGAAAATTGTATAAATAAAAGGACAATAACTGAAATAGTAAGAAACACTGCAGATTTCAAAGGCACATTTCAGCAAACAGTAGAAACAATCAGTAAATAAACATGAACCAATAAACATCATAAAGTTGAAGAACAGAAAAGTATTTCAGAAAAGTAATCAGTTCTAATGACCTGTAAGATGCCATCAACCAGAGCACCATAGCAATGCAGGAATACTGGGGGAGGAGAGAAAACTAAAGGAAATAATGGCACAAAATTTTCTGAGCTAATGAAGTACAATAAAAGAAGCATCCAAGAAACTCAACCTATAAACAGAGAAGATAATCAAGGAAACCTACACCAATCGCATGAAAATTACACCAAGAAAACCAAACAAAAGATTGGGGGGGAAAAGTGTTGGCACAAATGTGGGAAAATGTACTTAAGAGAGGAATGGGATCCCATACAGTTCTGTGAATGATGTTAGATATAAATAGATAAAGGCAGATGACCAGACAGACAGATAGATAAAGAGACAGATATTCTAGTTCTGTGTGTGCCCTGAAAATAACTGGATCTGGGCACTGGTAGCTCAAGTCTGTAACCCTAACTATTCAGGAGGCTGAGATCTGAGGATCATGGTTCAAATCCAGCCCATGCAGGAAAATCATGAGATTCTTAGCTCCAATTAACCTCCAGAAAACCAGAAGTGGTGCTGTGGCTCAAAGTGGTAGAGCACTAGCCTAGGGTGAAAATCTCAGGGACAGCTCCCACACCCCTAAATTCAAGCCCCCCACAACTGACAAAAGACAAAAGGAATTGAAGGCAGAAGTTCAAGCAGTTATTTTAATACCAAAGTTTATAGTAGAATATTTACAATAAAAAATATAGAAGTGGATAGGCACCAATAATCCTAGCTACTCAGGAAGCTGAGACCTGAGGAATGGGGTTAGAAGCCAGCCTATGTAGGGAAGTTTGTGAAACTCTTAACTCCAAACCCAGAAATGGTGCTGTGGCTCAAGTGGCAGAGCATTAGCCTTAAGCACAAAAGCTGAGGGACAGCACTCAGACCCAAGGTTCAAGCTCCAGGACTAGCTAAATAAATAAATAAATAAATAAAATATGGGATTGTAACTATATAACAGGCTGTAATATGCATATATAATCCAATATTACTCAGTCTTTGTGAAAGTTGAGCATCCTGATAAATGCCACAACATAGGTGAATCTGGATATTATTTAAATGTAAGAAGCCAATAGAAAAAAATAACAAATATTGTGTGATTCTATTTCTCTGAAGTGTAGAGACTAGTTGAAATCAGGTGTAATGATGGGTGACAGCATCTAGGGCTAGGGAGGAACAGATGAATGGGGAGGTATTGTTTACTAGCACTACTTAGACTGAGAGATGAACAGATTCTAGACTTGAATGGTAGTGATGGAGAACAATACAGATATACTTAATATCATTAATTTGTACACTTAAATATACTACACATATATATGCTATGCTTAATTGCAGGTACTGTATATTTTATCATTACAATAACTGAGTGGAATTTGCAAGGCTCTAAGTTAAGATTCATTTGATGTCCTCCTTCAAGAAAGAAATCTGAATAATTATGTAGCTACTTGAACATTCCCAAAGTAAAATCTGCTATTTGCACCTCCTACATCCTAAATCCAACTGGACTGAGAAAAAAAAACACACTGGGTAGGAATTCCTTTGATAATTTTCCTGGAAGATGTGCTAGAGAAAAAGACAGCATGATCTCTTTATGTGACATGAGGGCAGTTTAGTTTTATCTTCCAGTTTGGACTGGAATATAAAAATGGTGTGGGGGGGGGGGCGGGGATTTTAAAGATAGTAAGAACATAGAAGAAAGAGTGAACAAGGGGAATATCATTTTAAAATTATTATTTGAGTTGACTATGAGTTATTTGATTATGTTTAGCATATTCTAACACTTAACTTTATTCCTCCTTCAAAGCAGAGTATAGGGTAGTATGACAGAGAATAACCCAGTATTTAAAAATTCTATTAGAGGAATCATTCTATGAATAGAGTGGGAGGCTTATGGACATTGTCCTAGAGTTATGGAAATAGAAAAACTCTATCCTCAAGCTTTATCTCTTTCTTTAGTAATATATGTAAATGTATGGTATATATATGCATATTAATATACATACATCATTTGTATGTATATTATATATTGTACATTGTGATATACATATGTGTACATATACATATATGTATATAGGCACATATATTTGTATATGTGTAAAGCAGAAGGCCAAAGAAAGAGAAAATCTGAGTCTCCCCAACACATTTGTCCTGTTGGGCTTCTCAGAGTATTCATGGCTGCAGATCCCCATCATTGCGGTGGTCCTGGTCTCCCATATTCTCACCCTCATTGGCAAGAGCACCACCATCCTTCTGATCATGATGGAGTCCAGACTCCAGACATCCATGTACTTCTTCCTGGACAAATTCTTGCTACTGGACCTCTGTATCACCTGCTCTATGGTCATCAGCTTCTGGCCAACCTCTGGGTCCCAGAGAAGACAGTTTCCTCCTGGGGATGCGTCACACAAGCCTACCACTTCCATTGGACAGGTGGTACTGAATGTGTCCTGTTAGCAGTAATGGCCTTTGGTGGCTGTGTGGCAATCTGCCATCCTCTCAGATACAGTCTCATCATGCATTCCTGGGCATGTGTGTGGCTGGTAGCTGTATCCTGGTTCTGTCCTGGCCAATTCCCTGCCATAATCCACACTCACCCTCCAGCTTCCCCACTGTAGTCATCACACCCTGGACCACTTCTGTGAGGTGCCTGCTCTAATACACCTGGCTGGTGAAGACACTATGGCTAACCACCTCTCCTTGACTCTGGGTGCCATCCCTTTTGCACTGATGTCTCCCCTCTGGTGCTCATCTCCTATACGCTCATTGCTAGTGCTAAAGTTATCAACAGCTGAAGAAAAGCACAAGGCACTCAGCACCTGCAGTTCCCACTTAGTGGTTGTCACCATGTACTTTGAGCCAGCCATCTACATGTACTTCCAGCCTACCGCCAGCAGCACTCGAGCCTAGTTCCTGTATTTCTTCTATTGTATCATCACTCCACTACTCAATCCACTCATCTTCACCCTGAGAAACAAGGACATGAAGGCAGCAAGGAAGAGGATCCTACAACTCCAGGGAAGGAGGAAGTATTTCAAAGCCAGATTTGTTAATTGGCTATTGATTCTTTGAGAGTTTGTATATGTATATGTGTATCTTTAAGCCTTTAAGACTAGATCCTGTAAATGAGAAAAAAATTGTGCCATATTTTCCTTTTTATCTTGATTTATCTTTCCCAACATGATTTCCAAATCCATCTAATAACCTGACAATGGCACAATTTCACTTTTCTTATGGTTCAGTAATATTGCATGATATATATATATATATATATATATATATATATATATATAATATTCTCTTTATCCATTCATCAGTTGTTGGGTTTATTAGCTTATTCCTCTACTTGGCCATTCTGAACAGAACTGCAATAAATATGAATATGTGTGTTGTACAAAGTACTATATGCATGTATTTATATGTATATATATCTTCTTTAGTAATTATCAAATCATATTTTATAATTTTTCTTCTCTCCTGAAATGTAATTATCATGATAAATTTTGTGTTTATCACTCTCTCGCTATTTTTGTGTTGTATAGCTATTTGAAAACTAATAAAATGAAAAACCAAAGCAAAAAATTATGAATAGGTAGATGTTTCTCTTGTGTATTGATTTACCTTCCTTTCATATACATGCCAAGAATGATATAGTGGAATCACAAAATACTTCTGTTTTCAGTTGTTTAAGAACCCTCCATATGCTGCTTTTCATGGTGCTTGCTACCTACATTCTCACCAATGTTATATGATGTAGGGCTAGATCTCCGGCAGGAGGTAAGCGTGAACGACGCGCACAAGGAACACTTGTTGGGAGAACAGGCTTAAGCAGGACTCATTTATTCTTGCACAAGGAGGGGATTTTACAGCCCCAGCTTTCCCAACATCCTGAGTCCTTCCCAGCCAATTACTTAGCGGGGTGTTGATGTAAGGCACGTGTGAAGGGCACTGC